AAAGAAAATTCCTTGCAAAATTTTAGTATAATGTTGGTGGCTTGATGAAATATTCCGTAGATTCTTTAAATTTGAAATTTTTATAATAATAATTACTCTGTATTACAGTATCATTCTGAAATAACCTGGGGCGTTATTTTAGAATGATGTAGTGACCCTGTTTACCTGAGCTCTGATCGTTACTATTCGAACCTGTAACCATTTAATCATCATTATCTAATTATGTTAAATTATTTGTGTAAATGAATTTATTTATCTCATAAGTGAAAAGCTTCATGATATGTGATTCCCTTTTAATCAAATATTAATTTATGCGCATGAAGTATTCCAGCAAATAAAAGCTTTTGACTAATATGTTTAGGTGAATGTAATTGATTGTCATATGCATAACCAGTCTTAGAGTGGAGTTTGAAACTTGGCCTGTGTGTATATTTCAAATCAATGCTTTAACAGGTTCTGATGCTCATTCTGACCAGTTTAGGTGTGTTAACATCCCTGGTATTATTATAAAAACTTGTAATCTGATATAGCAAATGGTCAGGTAAAAAAGTATATATATATATATATACACGCGTATATACAAGTTTACAACTATTTTTTTTTATCTGTTATAAGTGATGAAATACTCACCAGTCATTGTGAACTTCAAGGATCACAATCTTCAGACTATCACTATCGGTTCTATTGATGTTATATGGACCTGTCACTTTCAAATACTTCTGATAATCTGTGTCATGTATTCTACCTTACTCAGAATTCCTGATATTTACAAGATCTGCCAGATTCATCAATTCGCCACATATCTTGACTCAGTTTATCAAGATTACATTAGATTTGGGTTTGAAGAAGATGAAAGTATTATTCTTCAGAACTGCCAGAGCTTTCTTTATACCTCAAAAGCAAATGCTAAAGTAAGATTTGTTCGTAAGGTTATTCGTAGTAACGTTTACAACTTGTTCAATAATTTTAGCAAATTGAGAGTCATGTCATCTATACAATGCCTTTATTTAAATTTTGCTAAAACTATTCTCTCTGATAATCAATTGAGTTTTTTCCTTAGTTTTATTGATGATTCTCCACATAGCTTTAATTCTTCATCTGATTCTCTAACCTACAAATTCGTTTGTCAAATGATTTCCTATTGTTAAATTTATATGTATAATTTCTGATCATGTAATTGATTTTGGTAATTATTTAAAATTTATGATGATATTTCATGAATTTTAATCCAATCATTTATGTGATATTGTATGATAACTAGTAATCGGGATTGACGTTGCATTATCTTTATTATCTAATATTTCCAATCATGATTCGAAAGCTTTGTATTGTC